TGTAAGCGTTCAAGCAAACCACTTCTGAAGATGCAAGCCACACGTGCTTGCGAAACGTCAAGAAGAAATTCTACCGAACGACGGCCTAAAAACCCGAAAAACCCACTTGTTTCAAGGAATGGCCTCGAAAGTCTATCTCTTTTGATAAAAATTGTTTTCATATGGCACTCAGCCGGCTCACGTAGCGTATTTTGTATTGCTTACTGATAAAAGTTGCAGCTTCTTGAAGAGTTACACTGCTCATATATCTGAGCCCAGGGTTAAACATTCGCTTCCTAATGAGACTCTCCACGCTATCGTCCATAAAGTGCCAATTGTTTTCGTACCAGCCTTCATAATACGGCATGGAGACATTCATTTCAATCACAGGCGCCCATGGAAAAAAGCCTACATCGGGTGGAAATTCGGCGTTGCCAATCTCATAAGCACTTCTGGAGTTTCTCAGACAATTCACCAGTCTCCAGGAAGATTCCGTACTGCAGCCTATTTGCCTTCCAAAAACTATGCTTGTATTTTGTGCGCGATATCGATCGAATATCATTGCCCAATCCGCCACAGCTGATCCGCTCTGAATACAGTTCTCTCAGCATCAATGAGTTTTACAGTACATTTTCACTTACTTGGGCTATCACTTTGGTGACAATATTTCTGGTACTGGGAGCTACCATCAGTAGCCCAGCCGAAGCTGCACCTGCACCTGGACCAAACAGCGTGATGCTGTCTCGATCACCGTTGAACTTTTCCGCGTTCTCATATACCCATCGCAATGCCATTGATTGATCCAGAATTCCGTAGTTTCCTGGAGAATTTATGTCCCCAGTACTGAGGAAACCCAAAGCTCCCAACCGGTAGTTTAAAGTAACCACCAAAACCTTGTAAAACGACGCCATAATGTGACCTGGGAACAGATTGGACGCTCCATGAATAAAATCACCACCATGGATATAGACCATGACTGGGTATTTCTGGCCTGTTCCTTCTTCCTAAAAGAGGCATGATTGATTGATTTATTGATAGGATTAGTTCGTTAAAAATTACTATATTGGGCGAGAATATATTGAGGTAAAGGCAGTCTTCATGCATATCTCGGATGCCCAGTGTTGATCCGGTATATTTTACGGGCTGTGGGCAGGCAGGCCCGAAATCAACCGCTTGGAGTAATTGCCAGCCTCTATGCAATCTTGGGGGCTACGAATTGACGAAATCAATCTAATCATATGCTAATTGAAAAAGTACAAATGCACCTACTTTGAACCTTCCCTCGTTTATCGGAGGTTGTGCGTACGGAATACCTAAAAATACGCTACTGATGCCCATCTGCCTTTCAATGAATTCAGCTCCTGGTCTATATAGGGAATCAGGGTTTGGATTATCAAATAGATATACTTGAAATCCCTGCACTTCTCCATGAGTCGTTCGAACAAAAACGTCCCGGTTGAGTTCTTTTGTCTGATCGCGCCTCTTCCCTTGGAGGTCTTCCCTCCAACCTCCCAACACTCCTGGGAGGATTGGTTGAGAATTTCCTTGCTTAAATGAAATGGAAAGAAGCCTCTTTTAATATCTAAGCTAAGATGTAGTGGGAGTTGTTGACCTTTAAACGTCTTAAGGGAAATTCGGCTAAAATTAACTGAAATCTTACCCGGTCGTAAGAGAATCGATCATCCTGGCCTCTGATACGTGGATCTCCAGGAGTACCTTCATAGTAACTGTTTAACTGTCCATACCTTCGTCCTTTGTAAACAAAAGTCCTGTAATCTTTATCACCAGGATTTGGAATATTGTACGTTTGAGGCCCGTAAATGTTGTACGGGTTTTGTTGGTTGGGGGGAATTTGGGAATAGCCCCATTGGCTGATCTGTCCCAGAATTATTTCACTAACAAACACTATCACTAATAACAAAACAATCGCAATCTCTTGTTGTAGGGGAACGGCCATATTTGATTATGTTTACCGCAACTTCTTCTTTACCTGGTTGACGTCATCGCAGGTGTTATTTGAAAACCCATGCCCATGCCCAGGTACGTACTGGGTTCTCAATGAATTTTCTTACCGATTATTCGACACACCCATCATTAATGGTACATTATCAAAATGACTAATATAAATTGCTGTTGTGCGACGTTGAGCCAGATATTGTTTTATCGCTTGCGATGGCGATGACACACTTTCCTCGGATATCTAGGAAAATCCCTAATCAGCGCTATTATCTGTTGCTCAGATAACAACCGTTGCGAGATAGGACTACAATAAAACTTTGAATTTTAAAACCCGCTAGTTAAGCTAAATTTCGTTTAATGAGCCTTTAATTAATTCATTAAGTTTTTAATGTTATTGGTGCTGTTAATTGAAGCCCAGCATCGCCAACAAAGGCCGCCTGTTAGTTATTAAGCAGTTTTGTTTGAGGCATGAACTTTTATTTGTTTTTTTAACTCCATATGAAATGCATTGTGGTTGCGATAAGTAGCACATGCTTTGAGCTTATAGTAGAAAATAGTCGTTGTTGCTTCCTTATGCATAAAAAATTGCAATATTCTCGAAAACGGGACAGTTTTCTGATACGCAAACTATATAGGTAGGTACGACTGAAATGCTTACGACTTGACTGAAAATACCGCTGAAGCATAATGAACATTAACACTTTTTGAAG